TTGGGGGACTCCGTCTACTCCTTGCTCCTTTGTCTCTTGAAATTCTACACTGGCCACCTCGACAGACCCAGGGAAATATTTAAATACCAGCTCAGCAGGTGCAGGATGACTGTTGAATGTGCTTTTGGTAGATTTAAAGCTCAGTGGTGATATTTAATGGCTAGATTTGATCTCAGTGAGGCAAACATTCCTATCATTATTGCTTTATGTTCTGTATTACATAATATTTCTGAGGCAAAGGGGAAAAGGCTTCCATCAGGGGAGAGGTGGACTGGCTCTCTGCTGAATTTGAACAGGCAGACAGGGCTATTAAGAGCCAATGATGGAGTTATATGGTTGAGGAGGCTATAAAATAATATTTTAACAGTCAGCCATAGCAGTGTTGTGTGATACTTTTCTGAACTTGTGTGCCTTTGTGCACACAGAGCTTGAATATGGTCATTGCATGGTCAAGGGTTATTGACTCCCCTTATAATGTTGTAATGTGGCATTTTTGCTTGGTACAAACAAGTATACGTTGAATTTCAAAAACAATTTTATTTGGTGAATATAAACAGGAAACAAAGCTCAAGTGCAAATACAGAAGCACTGTAAGAGGCTGACCCAAACTTATAAAAAATAAGTAAACAATTAACATGTTTGCATATGAATGAAACATTGTAATATGGTTTTTAATGTTAAAAACAAGTAGTACACTGTAGTGTAAAGTCATGGTTGTCCTTATTTTCCCTTAGCACAGAGTGATTAGAGGAAAGGGTTCATGTCCTGCTGCAACCTGTGATGTTGGGGGTACAGGAAGCAGCAAATGGAGTTTTCCATGAGTCGGAAAGGCAGTGTTATGTATGGAGTCTTGGGGTAGTTGGCACAATAATTTTCTGCAACATCTGTGTTTATTGCTTGAGCAAAGCTATTATGTCCTGGTGAAATTACTGAAGTACCTCTTTGTCCCTTTGTCATTCTGTCAGTAACCACTTTGTCCATTCCTGGTTCTTCCCCCTACTCTCAGCCATTTGGCCCCTCCAATCCCTGTGCTCACGATCAGCAGCTGTACAGGACTGGAGGATCACACAGAACATATCCTTCCTGATCCGCTTCTTCTTCATCTGATCAAGGTCAAATGTTCAGCAGACGTAGAAGGGGCATCTCTTAAGGCCACCATGCCAGAGACTGCTGATTAAAACAAACAGATACAGAATTAGATTTAGATTTACCGTCACAACAAAGTAAAAGATGTCTAAAAACTCCCTTACATGATTCCTAAAAAAGACCTCTCATAAGAAATGCTATTTTTCACTTTAGCTTCAGAGCCCCTTGTTACATAAATGTGCAGCTCAAGCAATGGTGAGAATGGACTAGTGGGAGTGGTGGAGGGCTGCTGCATGGAAGGTTTAGACATTGGGTGCCCCTCTGTGTCAGTAATAGGAAAATGGAGTGAATATTGAATATTTTCATAGGCAGTGATGATTTTGTCTGATATCTCACTCCCAGAGGACACAGCTGCCACTGACATCACGAAGCCGCCTGGGCCCATATGCTGCTAGCCTGTTGAAATGGTGTCTGCAAAATTCATTGCAGAATGGTGTGGGAATGTCTCTGCCTTGTTTCTTCCCCAGTGATAGTCATCCTTCACAATATTCAGGAGAGGGCTACAAAGTATCTCCATGAAAGTTTCATCGAGTTTGTTCAAGAGGATACAAGGAGCACCCGGTTGAGATAAGCAAAATACTTTGCATGGCCCCCTGGCTAGCTTAACAAAGAGAAGCGGATGCCACCTCTACCCAACCACGGGACAGTGATCTGATGCTGCAGGCTGTGTAACTTGGACTGCCATATTATTATTATTCTTTTAATTTCTAACATTTTACAAGTTATCTAAATCATGAATGGGATGGGTACCATTTTAACAAAGAGAAGGGTGGATGGGTGGGATGGAGGGAGGGGAGGTTTTGGGCACAAAAAAGTTAAAAAAATTGCTTATAAAGAAAAATACATCTCTACACTTAGCTGAGTTCCCTTCCCTGTCATCATCAAGCTCATCAGTGCTCACCCAGCAAGACTGTCTTGATGCCAGCTGAGTTTCGAACAACACCTGGCTCGCTGAATGGTTTGTGTCCCTTTCTTTGTCCTCCCCTACTCCCTCCTCATTGTGCACTTCAGAGGTTTCTGCACCTGGATCTCGCAAAGTGTCAAAATCACATTCTGGGTGCTGGTAGGTCCTCACCAAGTATGGCATCTCGGAACAAAGAATGTAGGTTGCATTTACGGGGGAGGGGGGAACTATCCTGGCAAGCAGACACTCTGAAAAAGATGTGTGGGTCATAGTGGATAATCAGTGCACATAAGTGCCCACGGCAACACTGTGGCTAAAGGACCAGTGCAAGCCTGGGATGTATAAGCAGTGGAATTTCAAATAAGAAGGCTATATTACCTCTGTGTTTGACAGGGTTGTGACTGCTAGTGGCATGCTGTGTTCAGTTCTGGTGTTAATGCAAGAAGACTGTTGATATCTCAGAGAGGTTTTGGGGAAGAGCCAGGAGAATGGTTAAGGATTGGAAAGCAGGACTTATAGTGATTTAAGAAGCTCAATTTATTTAGCTTATTAAAGAGAAGGCAAAGGGGTGATTTGATTAGTCTATAGTATCTACAGGGGGAACAGAAATTTTACACTAGAGGGATCTGCAATCCAGTATAAAAGGTGTAACAAGATCCAACTGAGTTGAAGCTAGACAAATTCATACCAAAATAAGGTGCAATTTTTTAAGGGAGTGTAATTAACCAGTAGAATAAAATAGCAAATGTTGTTGATACTCCATCACTGGAAACTTTAAAATCAAGACTCGATGTTTCTTTAAAAGATGTGCTCTAGTTCAGTGGTGCCCAACCTCATTACATAGGAGGGCCACATAAACCTAAGCACAACCTTGTGTGAGTCAAACAGATTCCACAAACTTTAGTAAGATTTAGTCACCTATATTGATTTATAGTTTAAGTTCAGCTTGTTTTGTATTTATTTAGATAGTTTCTATGTACAGTATTGTCTCTCTTTTTACACACCTGTGTAAACTAAAACGATGTAAACGTGATGACAAAACCCTACTGAATCAGTTGTTAGTATACGGTGTTGAAGCAGGCTGCGGCCCTTAGGAAATGCTTTGGTGGGCTGTGTACAGGCTGTAGGTTGCGCAGCCCTGCTCTAGTTCAACTACAGCTATTGATCTTGAAGCAGGAATTAATTCAAGGAAGTGTGCTCTTATGGAGTTCTATGGTATGTGTTATGCAGGTCAGACTAGATGATCACAATGGTCTCTGCAGGGCCTTAAAAATCCAAGAATTCATGACGTGGGATGATTATACTTAATAAGGAAGATAAAATCACCAAGGTCCCTAGTGAGGTTTTCAGAAGCTGGAATACTCTCAGTAATAAGTATTTGTACATGAGTAAGAGCCTGCGGAGCCTCAGCCTGACCAACTTCGTCTTACCACAGAACTCTTGTTTTAGTAGAAATCTTCTTACAATATCAGAAGTAAAAGGATACTAAAAGGGAAAGGTGACTTAAAAAATCAAGTATAAGTAGATAAATCCAAGACTAAATGGAACAGGGTCCTGCCGGGCTTTAACTTGATGCTAACTGATATTTCTTTTTGCCCCTAGATAGTATAGTAGTGGCTATAATATAAATACTTTGCATGAATAGACAGGAACAGGTTCATCACCCTTTAAAGCAAGTTAGCATGTATAGCAAGCCGTTATTGTTCCTACACCAGCCAACTCTATTCAGCAAGAATGGAATTTAAAATGATTATAAGCTATTGGGGGCAAGGTCTGCCTCTTTGCTCTGTTTGAACAGCACTTAGTACAAGGGCCTTGATCCACAACTGGGGCATTAGGCATTACTGTCACACAAACAAATAACACTTGCCTAGTGTTCTTTCATTTAAAGAATGTGTTACTTTACATGAGGGAGACTTTTTAATGAATTATTTTTTGCTATAATTACTACTTTTAAAGTCCAGATCTTAACAATTTAAGACTGCCATCTTGCAAAGGCCTACACATTTAAAGCTCAAGGAACCATGCTGTATCTACCCTGTGAGGATTGGTACAAAGGCTGAGAGTGGGGTACTTGCTGCTTTTGTACTGGGTGTGGAGGTAGAGGAGGTGTCCTCCTGCCGCTGTAGCCACCCACAGCACCAAACTGAAATACTGTGGCTGGGCAAAGGGGGCAGGATTTGGCCTTTTAAAAGTGGGAAAAGTTGACCACTTGTATTTAAAAGCTGTCAGTTTGACAGCGGCTCCTGCCACCGACTTTTCGCTAGCAAACAAAGGCACTGTGACTGGCTGAGGTGGTGTTCAATTTTTTTTATCTTTCCATCCTTGCTTTATGTTAGGCGAAATCAACTGTTTGAAGCTATGATGTAATAACAATCCTTTAAGAATCCCCTTAGTGCCAACTCTAATCACAAATCACCCCAAACATTCACGTGTTTAGTTAATTTAGGTTATTTTCTTTTTAAAATCCGGCAGTGAGGCTCTGGGCATTTCTCTCTTTGAGCCCTCACTAACCCCAGCCTTGACAGATTTTTGTCACGAACTCAGCCCTGCCTGCAACGGCTCGAGCCTGGCTGCGGCCACCACTATCAACCCCAGTGCTGGGGCTGCCAACTACGAGTCGCCTCCATCCCCGCAGCCCCGGGCGGAGAGGGGCTCAGGGAGGACGCCGAGCTCAGGGGCGGGCAAGTGCGCTGGGACACAGGCAGTACAACTGCCCCCCGGGCTCGGACTTCATTATGCCCTGGCAGTCTTGCTGCTCCGCTCAGCGTGCGGCCCCCACAGCGCGGAGGGAGCCCGGCGGCCCTACCCAGCCCGAGGGCGCAGCGCCCCGCCCCGCTGCCCCCGCGGACTAGTCTGTCTCTCAGGCGGGCAGCCTCGCCGGCCTGACCCCAGCGCAAGGCAGGGGCGGCGCGGCCCTGCTGACGTCAGAGGTCGCGCGATGCCCGTATGGAGCGCTGCTATATAAGCGCCGCGCGCGCGCCCTCTCTCTCTGCTGCGAGTGACTCCGTCGCAGCCGCTGCTCCTCGCGCCGCTCCTGACTCACCGCTGTTCGCTGGGCCGCCGCACCCCGCCCGGGAATAAGTCGGTCAGGAGGACTCCGTGCAGCCATGGTGAGCGGTGCCAGCAGGGCCGGGGTGGGAGCGGGCCGGGGAAGGGCGCTGCCGCGCGGCTGCTAACGCTCTGTTAGGCCTCTACTCGCCGCGTGCTCCCAGCCTGTCGCCCGAACCCCCGGGGCGGCGGCTCCCGGCCTCGCTGTCGTTTGTTACATTGGGGCCTTCCTCCTCTACCTGGCGCTGATCTCGACAGAGGTGCCGGGCTGGCAAGACCCTAGCGACCGCCGGCGCTAACGGGGAAGTGGGGGGAGACACTGGCCGGCGGCGACGGAGCGGCCGGGGCACTTTACACCTGGGGGCTTTGGGGACGTTTCTGGGCCACGACCCTCACGTGTCTCGCTCCTGCCAGCTTTGGCCAATAGTAGGGTGACCAGACAGCAAATGTGAAAAATCGGGACAGGGGGTGGGGGGTAATATAAGAAAAAGACAAAAATCAGGACTGTCCCTATAAAATCCGGACATCTGGTCACACTAGCCAATAGACACCCCCGCGCTGGAGAAATGGCCTCCCTGTGCTGCACGCTGAGCTTCGCCAGCTCTGCCCCTCCCTACAAACCGCTACCAGTTCCAAGTGTGTGTGTGTGTGAGGGGTTGGATTCTTGGAAAATCATGGAAACATCTTTTTGTGGTTGCATCTTGTGTTTTCACTGTAGTTTTACCTGCGTTAGGAAGTCAACCTGAAATAGCCCTTAAAAATTAAATTGGTGGGTCCTATGTGGTGTACCTCTGCTGCCCCTAGAAACCTTTCATTAGCTGTTAAACTTTATATCATCAATGGGATTACAACACCATGCCATTTGCAAAATAAATACAAGTACTTTATTTATAAAAAATCCTAGTATATATTACCATCAAAAGAAAGGGTGCCTGCCAGTAATATAAAAATATAGCTGCAATAAAATACTTGTATATTGTGCCCTAAATCAGTTAATACAGGGATTGTCTTTCTGATCCCTCTGATAAGTAGCACATTGCAGAAGTTATACATTAGATGGTTCTTTTTAAATTATTGTTACTTAATTATTCACTTTTTCCACCACAAGAAGTCAGAGCAAGTATACTAGTGTGGCTATCACTTCCCAAATGAATTTGATGTTCAGCCTCCTGATAGATGCACATCTATAATTTGTTGACCACACACCTTTGTTCTTTATCGCCTGGCTGGATTATGCCCATGATACAGGCATTTTTCTTTTTCAATTTTTTATGCGAAACAAACACTGGTTAAACTGTAATACAGATTTGTATGTTGCTATATGCTTAAAGAGATAAGGTGGGTGAAGTAATATTTTTATTGGACCAACTTCTATTGGTGAAAGAGACAAGCCCTCATGCTACACACAACTCTAATATCCTGGGACTGACACCACTATAACACTACATACTAAGGCAGGGGTGACCAGCCTGAGAAGGAGCCAGAACTTACCAATGTGCATTGCCACACTACTACATCAGTAGCCCCACATCAACTCCCCTGTCCCCATTGTCTCCCAGCAGCACAGCCGATCAGAACCTAACCTTCCATCCCTGCGCCTCCTGCCAGCCGCGATCAGCTGTTTTGTGGTGTGCAGGAGGCACAACGGAAGGAGGAGGAGTAGGGTACGCCAGACTTGGGAAGGGGCGGGGGCAGACCCAGGGGTTGAGCAGCGAGCATGCTGTAGCACATTGGAAAGTTGGTGCCTGTAGCTCCAGCCCCGGAGTTGACACCTATGCAAGGAGCCCCATATTAATCTCTGAAGAGCCGCATGTGGCTCTGGAGCTACAGGTTGCTCACCCCTGTACTAAGGCTCGGTCTACACTACAGCGTTAGGTTGATGTAAAGTAGCTTGCTCTGTGTCTACACTAAAATATATCTCCCATCCACATGACTCTCCCACTATGTCCACTTAATAACTCCACCTCCGTGAGAGGCATAGCCCTTAAGTTGATGTAGTTAGGTTGATGATGTATCAGTGTAGACACTGTTGCTTACAGAGACCTGCTACCTTTCAGAAACCATCCCACAATGCCCCACACTGGCAGTTAAAGCGGTGCAAGTGCTCCTGGTGAGGATACGCATAGCTGACACAAGGAGCATAGTGTATTCGTGTAAAACTGATTCAATTACTGCAGTGGCTGCATGTCCACATAACTTGCATCAACTTAATTTTGTAGTATGGACTTGCCCTATATGATTAAAGTATTTATTTTGGAGGGGTATCAGTGGCTAGATGGCCTGTTCAATATAGACATAAGCCAGTGTGGGGCGCTTCTGTTGTTTTCCAAGGTGGATAATTGTTAGAGTAACTGTACAAAATGCCATCTCTGAAACTGGATTCTTGCCCTTTCCTGTTCTTCCTCCTTTTTTTCCCCCCCCCCCCCCCCCACTTCAGAATCATACCTACATCCTTTTGATATGAACTCTAATAAAAGTTTTATAAAAATTAGCTATGTCTTAACTACGTTTTCAATTTTAGTGACGGTAGAATGCTTTAAGGAGCATACATGCAATACTGACCAGTTTGGCTGTAACTTCTAATATTCATAATGTTAATGTTTCAGGCATTTAAAGATAGTGGCAAAGCACCTGTGGAACAGGAAGTAGCAATTCACCGAATTAGAATTACCTTGACGAGTCGCAATGTAAAGTCCCTTGAGAAGGGTAAGTGGTTTTTTTTTCTGGGGGGGGAAAGGGGGTTGCTTATGATTTGAAGTCTCAAATATTGCAAAACATAACCTGTCAATTAGGGAAGTTGCCAACTGAAGTTATTAGCCCAGAAGTTGTCAATTGTGTTTAAAATTCTTTACCACAGCCATTGACCTACTCTGCCAATGACTTAAAACAAACTAAGGAATAAACTTATGTTAACCTGCATTAAACACTTACTTTATCCATGCTAGCCAAACTGTTTAACTATGAACTCTCTTGAACAATGTTTTAGCCATGTGTTGTGAACACTATTCTAAAATAGCTATGCTCTCAAAGCAAAATGTGTTTAAACCATGTTAGTTTAAATTCTTAAGTCTTTAACTAGTTAATCTAACACTATATAAATGCCATTGTGACAGGCCTAAAAAGTAAAATTACAAGTGACCTTGCTAATTCTGGGGTAAGCAGTTTATTCCATATGTAGTTGGCTATGAGGATAAATTGTAAACTGAATTACTATGATTGTTATTTACGCTATTCTGAGCCAACATTTTATGTGAAGTGGAATATCTAATTCAATTAAAAAAACTTTTCTAAACAGTTGTTTTCTTTTACAGTCTGTGCTGATTTGATCAGAGGTGCTAAGGAAAAGAATCTAAAAGTGAAGGGACCTGTTCGCATGCCTACGAAGGTACTTACAGTTTAGGAGGCAGGAAAACCATAATTAATTCTACAAGATTTTATTTGTAAATCTCAAATAGTAAAATTGAGAAGGAGTGCAATCTGATTAAATATATTAAATCCAATTTAAACTCTAACCAGTTAATGGATTAGTAGCTGGCATAAACATGACTAAATGGTTAAATACAAAACATGCTGAAGAGAAATACGGAAGAGGATTTTGACCTGCTTCCTACCTGCATTCCCCTTTTTGACTTAAGACTCCTTGGGCAGCTATGAAAAGGGGGTGATGGTGGCCATCAAGATATAAGTAGAGTTAATTTTTGACAACTATGTAAAAAATACTGCAAGCAATATTTTAATTACATTAGAGCTATAGAAAGTTTTGATTTTAGTCAAAACCTCTGCCAAGCTGTCTTCATCTATTGGTTACTATTCCACTTTCTGTTACAGACACTGCGAATCACTACTAGGAAAACACCTTGCGGTGAAGGTTCTAAGACCTGGGATCGTTTCCAAATGCGTATCCACAAGCGTCTCATTGATTTACACAGTCCCTCTGAGATTGTTAAGCAGATCACTTCTATCAGTATTGAACCAGGTGTAGAAGTGGAAGTTACTATTGCTGATGCCTAAACACCTGTCATCTACTTCAATAAAATTTGATTTGAAATTTTGTTTACTGTTGCTTTGTGTTTTCTGAAATAGAATCTCTACTAGAAACTTTCAAGAATAAAGAACTGAAACAAAGTGGCATAACAATCAAGAATCTAGGCATTGTGAGGAGAATGGTTGGCCAAGTCTTGAGTAGAGGTGAACGTTACATTACTTTCTTTCTTTTTTACCATTGATATATAACTGCTTTAATGTATTTTGAAGAAGGGAGTGCGGTGTGATGTAATGTTTCAAATTAAAATAAGGAAGAAAATTTTTCATCGTGAATTTTATTTGCCTGAAACAACTTATAGGCTGTACTCGGTCACTTTTCTCAGATAAAGTCTGGTTTAACAGTGAACTGCAAAGGCTCAAATCCCCTTTAGCCTTTCTTTATACATCATAAACTTTTTTTAAAAATCATGCTTGTTAAGGAAGACCAAGGGATCCTGGGAATATTTATTGTGAGACTTTATTTGAAGCAGTGAGCATATTAAATATCTAACAAACACCTCTAATCTCACATGTGAATTCAGCATTGAAGTTAATTAGCTGTTAAAAGCTTTTAAACACGCTGACTTAAACTCTTCCCCTCCGAAGCGTAACTTTTTCTCTTGTGATATTTCACCAGTCTTGGGGCTTGTCTTCACGTACAGCGGTGCAACTGGAACGGTGCAGCTGCGCCGCTGTAGCGCTCTAGTGAAGATGCTAATATGCTGACAGGAGCGCTCCCATTCGCATAGTTAATCCACCTACCCAAGAGGCAGCAGCTATGTCAACGAGAGAAGCTCTCCCATGGACATAGCACTGTCTGTGTAGGGGGGTTAAGTTGGGGATGTGTGGATTTTTCATACCCCTGAGCGACTTAGTTACAGTGATAGAGGTCTGTAGCATAGACCTGGCCTAAGTCTTCCGAGTTAGATAGAACCTGAATTCCTAGTGTAGTTAGGGGAAAAAAATTCAGGACTCCCTCCCCTTTGTGTATCAAGTAATGAAAGAGCACAGTTCCAATTTTTGGTTTGTATAGCCTTTAAAGATCTTGTAGTAATCTTCAAGAGAAGGAAGGACCTGATATTTCAAATGTTAGGTTTATGGTTATTACAACAAAGAGCAGTAAAAGGGTAAAAACAAAGCTTTAATTGCAAAACTAAAGTCAAGCTTTACAAATCCGTAATACTTGATTCAATCCCCTGTATAATTCAGTTTAAGGGCTGAAAGAAATGCTTGACAATTTCATTCCTTGTAGATATGTTCATGTCACCACTCTAGTGTACTTTTGAGGGCCTGTTGCTCTGTGAAGTAGAATTCAAAAATGCTTGTTCCTACAGGATGCTTGGAGAATAGACCGGGCTTCACCTAATGTCTTCAAACTTCAATTCCTTTCTGATGTACAGTATTTCTAACTGAAATATACTGTATACCCAATCAGCCTACTGTTAGAAAACATTTCTAAATATTTTCCCCTTCTTCCCGTAACTAATAATGACCACAGAGTGAAGTGCCTTACAGAGAGATAGGGGACAACAATGTGCTTTGAGCACCATAAACCAACTAAGTAGCAGAGGGGGAGCCGTGTTAGTCTGAATCTGTAAAAAGCAACAGAGGGTCTTGTGGCACCTTTAAGACTAACAGAAGTATTGGAGCATAAGCTTTTGTGGGTGAATGCCCACTTCATCAGACACAAGTAATGGAAATCTCCAGAAGCAGGTATAAATCAGTATGGAGATAACGAGGTTAGTTCAATCAGGGAGGGTGAGGTGCTCTGCTAGCAGTTGAGGTGTGAACACCAAGTGAGGAGAAACTGCTTTTGTAGTTGGCTAGCCATTCACCGTCTTTGTTTAATCCTGAGCTGATGGTGTCAAATTTGCAAATGAACTGGAGCTCAGCAGTTTCTCTTTGGAGTCTGGTCCTGAAGTTTTTTTGCTGTAAGATGGCTACCTTTACATCTGCTATTGTGTGGCCAGGGAAGTTAAAGTGTTCTCCTACAGGTTTTTGTATATTGCCATTCCTGTTATCTGACTTGTGTCCATTTATCCTCTTGCATAGTGACTGTCCAGTTTGGCCAATGTACATAGCAGAGGGGCATTGCTGGCACATGATGGCATATATAACATTGGTGGACGTGCAGGTGAACGAGCTGGTGATGATGTAGCTGATCTGGTTAGGTCCTGTGATGGTGTTGCTGGTGTAGATATGTGGGCAGAGTTGGCATCAAGGTTTGTTGCATGGATTGGTTCCTGAGTTAGAGTTATTATGGTGCAGTGTGTGGTTGCTGGTGAGAATATGCTTAAGGTTGGCGGGTTGTCTGTGGGTGAGGACTGGCCTGCCTCCCAAGGTCTGTGAAAGTGAGGTATCATTGTCCAGGATGGGTTGTACAACCCAGGATGGCAATATATCAATGCACACAATAGCAGATGTAAAGGTAGCCATCTTACAGCAAAAAAACTTCAGGACCAGACTCCAAAGAGAAACTGCTGAGCTCCAGTTCATTTGCAAATTTGACACCATCAGCTCAGGATTAAACAAAGACTGTGAATGGCTAGCCAACTACAAAAGCAGTTTCTCCTCACTTGGTGTTCACACCTCAACTGCTAGCAGAGCACCTCACCCTCCCTGATTGAACTAACCTCGTTATCTCCATACTGATTTATACCTGCCTCTGGAAATTTCCATTACTTGTGTCTGATGAAGTGGGCATTCACCAATGAAAGCTTATGCTCCAAAACTTCTGTTAGTCTTAAAGGTGCCACAGGACCCTCTGTTGCTATAAACCAACTAAATGAGCTGTTCCTGTAGTTCATTATATGTTGTCCTCTAAGCAAAAATTTAAAATTCTGCAGAATCCAATTATGCCAATCAGTATATTTTAAGAAGTACTTCATCTCTTACAGCTTACTCAGTCATCTACAATGATTCTCCTAAATAACACCAATTTACAGGTTTCTGTGTCTACCTCGCTGTATTCTCATCTATTCCTAAACCAACTGGTTGTGGAAACAGCTACTCATTACATATACTCCAGTATTTTATAAAAGCCCAAATCCAGCTACAAGATGTTAGACCATCCAATTTATGTTGTTAAAACATTTCTAGATGGGCTGGTGAATGACTTTCTAATGATTCTTTGCACTTTTATAAAAGTACCTTTTATCGGAGGTTTTCAAAACATTTTACCAAAAACCAATAGTTTTGCTATGAGAATCTCCTCTGAAATACAAGTCTTAATAAACAAATTTTACAGAAGGATAAACTGAACCATAGATAAGTTCATAGAATATCAGGGTTGGAAGGGACCTCAGGAGGTCATCTAGTCCAACCCCCTGCTCAAAGCAGGACCAATTCCCAACTAAATCATCCTAGCCAGGGCTTTGTCAAGCCGGGCCTTGACAGAGTTTAAGGCCACAGAGGACTGCTAGATGATTCAGTTGTACTCCTATATTGTAAGTCATTAAATTTCACCTAGTTACAGAATTGTGGAACTGGAAGGGACCTTGAGAGGTCATCTAGTCCAGTCCCCTGCACTTGAGGCAGGACTAAGTATTATCTAGACCATCCCTGGCACATGTTTGTCCAACCTGCTCTTAAAAATCCCCAATACAGGAGATTCCACAACCTCCCCTGGCAATTTATTCCAGTGCTTAACCACTCTGACAGGAAGTTTTTCCTAATGTCCTCCCTTGCTGCAATTTAAGCCCATTGCTTCTTGTCCTATCCTCAGAGGTTGAGAACAAAATGTTTTCTCCCTCTACCTTGTAACAATCTTTTATATACTTGAAATCTTCTGTCCCCTCTGTTTTCCCTTCTCCAGACTAAACAAACCCAATTTTTTTCAATCTTCCCTCATAGGTCATGTTTTCTAGACCTTTAATCATTTTTGTTGCTCTTCTCTGGACTTTCTCCAATTGTCCACATCTTTCCTGAAATGTGGCACCCACAACTGGACACAATACTCCAGTTGAGGCCTAATCAGCACATAGTAGAGAAGAAGAATTACTTCTCATATCTTGCTTACAATACTCCTGCTAATACATCCCAGAATGTTTGCTTTTTTTGCAACAGCGTTACACTGTTGGCTCAGTGATCAGGAACAGTCAGCATGGATTCACGAAGGGGAAGTCGTGCCTGACTAACCTAATTGCCTTCTATGATGAGATAACTGGCTCTGTGGATGAGGGGAAAGCAGTGGATGTGTTATTCCTTGACTTTAGCAAAGCTTTTGATACGGTCTCCCACAGTATTCTTGCCGCC